TACACTACAACCAACCATACAAATTTGTCTCGGTTATTTTTATGTTACTGATTGTCTTGAGTGAGTACAATATGATACTTTTTTTAATTGTTTTTTATCTTTGCCTCAAGAAATTATCTATTTTTTAATAGGCCTAGGCCTATATACATTTTTTAATGTAGGCCTATGGCCTCTCAAACCAACTCAATAACAGCTGTAAATGTCTAGAATGCTGGAGCTTCCGTGGGCTTCGCCCCCTGGACCGCCACCGGCCCTTCGCCCCTGGACACCACCGGGGCCCTTGGCGGCCCCTGGCCCCCAGCTAATGGTGCTCGCTTCGCTCACAAGTGCCCTTTCAGTATCAAAAGAACCCCTCCCCCCAATCAAAATCCTGGCTACGGGCTTGGATCCTCCTAAACAACCACAGATATCGGCTGTGAAGAAGTTTAAGATGTCATTAATCTATAAATAGACAAGATGATATTGATGGTGGTTTTATGGTTAGAACATTATGTTGAAGTTTTGTATCGTCTGAGCTTTCGACCGTACTGCCTTATAGACAGCATTAGGTTTTAGCTTTTGGCATACATATCTTCTTTTAAAACGATTGTATAATTTTGTTGAAACCACTAGTTTTTTTTATCATGCTAAAATATATAGGCCGTCGTCATATTAAGAACTGCGTTTTGTTATAACGCAACGGATATACTCGTTGTAGAGAATAAGACAGCAATATAGGCCTACTCGAAATGACAGATTTAAGTCGTTTGCCCTACATTTAGTTTTGAAATGAAACTCCCACTGATTATTTTTACAAGCTGCTGAAATCGTGAAATTCTTCAACGATTCAGTTAATAATTTCCTGTCTGTTAATTAATACTGATGGGTTCTTTTATTCTCTCTAAGATATTACACGCATGTGTACGCGTGTCCCCGAAATACCACGAATGTATTTTGGTAACGACAACCACAAGCTATCATAAACCTTACCTCTGTATTTTGTCCTTTCATGTTTAATTATCAATATAAATGGAAACAACGATATATTGTTGGAACCTGCTAATGAATTTACTGTAGCATTTTAAGCGCCAATCATTTATCGATATCTGGCTGTCGCATGTTCGTGAAGTGAAATTCATCGTGACACGATGACAATTGGGGTCTTGTCTTTGAATATTAACTCGAGCAATGCCACGAATGGATCATTGTTCAGACGTCACCGTGCTCTGATGCATGTCTCATACATTCCTAGAAGGAAATACACTTCATTTCTAATAAATCATAGAGACAATGATTTTTACATATTATCATTAAAAATTATATATAAAAAAAGGATAAGATGGGTTATAAACGAAATCAAATCTAACCTAAACTGGTCATTTGTATAGCACCTTTATTTACAGATACGAAGCGCTGAACGAGTACATATCCAAGTTAATTACGTAATTATGTCAAATAAAAAAAGAACAGATAGTTTCCATTAGGCATATCAGGTATTACACTAGCTTATCTAAATAGGCCTAACTCTTTCAACAATCGGATGAAAAAAAAAAAAACAAAATAAAAAACAGATGCCATGTGGCGGATGATTTAAAGATAGATTAAAATTTCAATATTTCGTATGGAGAATTTTATAAAAAGGAGGTCAATCTTTTTAATTTTATAGTGCTCTTATTTTTGGTCGCTTACTTCAATATAGGATTTCTTTTATTATAAAACAAACGTATCTTATGGTTAAATAAGGTGAAGGGCTGTCCCATCTATAATAAAATAATAATTTATGGTAATTTAATGTTATATTTATAATTGCGTCTATTAATATTTAAATCAAAACATCCACACCCAGTGGTAATATCTAATAATCAAAGGTCTACACCCCGGCAAGGGCGTAACTAGAGATATTTGATCTGAGCTTTTTGTTGTGGCTGTAATAAGATAAAAAGTAACTTTACTATTGTCTTCAGAATTTGGTAGGCCTATACAATTTTTGTCCAGGTTCACTTTGGAGCCCCCTTTGGACGTGTGTAGAACACCAGTACTTTGCACCCCTAGGAAGTTTGGAGGTAATGATGACTTGATAGGACGCTCCACTTTAACCCCTGCTTCAACTCCCATTCTGATTCAGTCAGAATTGGCAAAATCTCAAAGCGTTAAAATGGCATCATTAATTCCTTTTCAATATGACTTAAAGGAGAGTAACCAAGCTAGCCTACGCTTCATTCCTAAACTTGAGACAAAAGAAAAACAATATTGACATTGGCCTATGATATGCAGTATGGTTTGTTGACCGAAAATGTGAGGATTTGACCACACCGTCGTTGTCGTTTAAAAAAATTCCAATATCTGATATACGGTACCCTAGGGAAGTTAATCGTATATTATCCTCGTTTTCCCCTGATTATTTGTTTAATACGTATTACTACCCATGACATTATTATTATAGTTTAGCACATTCCTCATAAATAATAATAATAATATGATACCGATATGTTATTATTATTTTTTTTTAATGTAACGCTATTTCCGCTTCACACCAATATCAATATCTATGCAGCACTGTTATTTGGAATTAAAACTGGCATAAACATACCACGAATTTTGACGTTGCCTCTTTGAGAAGATTATTTGATGAATTTGCTTGAAACGATGTTCATTAAAACAGTGATTAATTTCTCCTTTCAGTTAGGCCTATCATAAACTGTTGGCATAATATTTTGTAGTGCAAAAGTGTAATACCGGTACGTTTTACTCGAAGAAAAACACGAGGTGACTACACGGAACAGAATTGTGTGTTCTGTTGTTCAAGAAAATCAAGTTATTTACACGATTTGAATCAAACTGTCGTTAGTTGAGTACAGCTGTTTCCACTAGGAGTGCCTACATCCGAAATGTTACTAATATATTCCAGTGAGGGTCGCCTTTTCCATAGACACAATTCCCTGAGCGCATTCTCGTGGGCATTACTCAGGACACGATGAAAAACGCGCGTAGAATATGTGTCGATTCTGCTCAAGTAAACAGAACTACTAGTCGAAATGAAAGCAATTTTCACCTATTGTCGTGCAACTTATCAATTGCCAGATACATTGACAAATTATATTGTCAAATACGGTTTTCTGTGGTTATTAATTTATCAAAGATATCAATACATCTTGTTACATGATGATTGATGTAGAAAAGTAAATAAGCTAGAAAATTGGACTATTATGAAATAAACAAAGACAAGTGCATATAGATGAATACCTTACCCTTAAAATTTAACAAATCCGATTTTCTTTTTAAATTTTCCATTTCAAGTCAACCTCGAACAAATAAAAAAAAAATATATTTGTAATCAATTGCAACAAAATCAAGTGTTTAAAAAAATAAATCATTGTGACTCAATTTTCTTCAATAACGTTATCATAATCGGGTCATCACCATCACCACAAACTAAATCATCTTCAATAATTGTCATTATTTTTACCAACATCACCATCGTCATAATCATATCATATCATAATAATCGCTGCCAACGTCCTCATCATTTGAGTCAATACCTGATATCATAATTATTGTTATATCATCACTACCAGTGTAAGTTCTCTGATATGTATTAACTGTTGTATTTATTGCATAGTTTTTGGCACAAAATGTCTTAAATATTCGTTTAGTATTAAAAAGTATTAAATGTAAAAATACAAAATTTAAATGACAAGGTAGTAAAAAACCTCAATATTGTTATTGATGACATGCCTCATCCGAATGTCCGGATGTCAGCAGGTCTTTCAGTCTAGTTTACTCTTTCTAAAACAAACAATAATTTGTCTAAGCGTAGGCGATGAAAGCAATACACACATAAACTCCCTGGTCCAGTGGCTGTAACCCGCCTTTACGACACCTACGAGAGTTTACCCAAGGCCTAGGTCATTAGCGATTTAGTTGTTAATTTTTGTCGTGTAAATATGATTTATGGACCGTTTGAAGGTAATAAATTGTAATAGATCTCGAGAGATGTGTCTTAGGCGACACGGTACTTTCAAAACCATGAGAACGGGGCACCAGAATACCTGCACGAACTTTGTGGTATAGGCCTGTATCTTTGGGCTCCCTTTTGACGTTGGGGTTCTTTCCCCAGTCCAATCCTCTAGATTTGTTTTAGCTTTATCTTGATCCTGACCTGTTCCGCTTTCAGACACTTAAGACGATTATGAATATCGTGTGTGGTATTTGAGCGACACTAGAAAAATATTTTTACCTGCGAAAAGTGAACTTCCACTTTTTTGACATCGTAACGTGATTTATAGTTCTATTTTATTTGTATGCAGTGTATTACATATTAATAAAAACATATTTATAACATCGTAAAATTAGCTTTTTCTTAAATGTATATAAGAAGTGGGCTTACCATACACAGTCAAAGAATAACAGCAGATGAAATTCAATATTGCGTTTGTCATCACGCAGAGAAGCATGAATGACACGTCGTCGAGATTGTGTCGAGTGTACTTGTTTTTTGGTTATTATTTTTATTGTGACATTGGC